CACACAGCTTGCCAATACCAGGACCAGAACACAAGCTGAATTAAACCCCAGGCTTATTCTTCCACCCTGTGCTTCTCTGCAGTTAGGGGTGCTGAGTATCACCCTGTCAGAAGCAGGGTTTCCTGAGATCTTTGGGAAATGTTGAGCCTAAATTCCATTATATTCACCTTCCTCAGAATCACCCAGTGATTCACAATCCTTCTGGAAGAAACCCTCAAGGATTTTTTGGCACAATTCCCTTTTTTCTCATCCTGACTCCGCTCCCTTTCCAGCCACCTCAGCATCGTTCTCCCAGCCCCTGTCACTCAGCCCTGGCTGCTGGAGCCCTGTGAGAGTGTGAGCTCCCCCAGCTGCAGCAGTGCTGGCATCAGGCCCAAGGTAATAAACTTATCAGGGCTGATTAGCTCGGTGTGCTCTCTGTCCCTCACCCCCCGTGTTGTCATCCTCTGCTCGCTCACTAGCTGGGAACTGGCACACACCAGGGTGAGGGCAGTGATACAACAGATCCAAAAGCTTTTGTGCAGTGCTCTTCCTAACCCAGAAAAGCCATCCTTTCTTTTCCCAACCCTCTCACCCCTACTTTGCTCTCTAACACTTCCTGAATTCACACAAGAAAAATTAAGCCTGTTCCAACTCTAGAATTCTCTGGTACAAAAATTGTTGAAGTTTGCTATGCCAATATATAGAATTGTAATAGATAGTCACATCCACATGTCTATGTAATAGATAGACAGTCCAATGTAATAGATAGTCACAATACATAGTTAAAAAAAATAAAACAACTTTCTCTTTTTTTTAATACAGGAATCCCCTGCTCTACAGGATACTCCTATAATGCTTCCATAATTTCATACTTCCTGAAAGGCAACCCCCCTTTCCATAGGCAGACACAACACAAAAACTGACAAGCAAGTAGAGGTCCCATCTTTCTTTTCACAGAGTCCCGTCTGAGGTTTAACAAATTCGCTCAAATGTGACATCCCATTATAAGCTCACATATAAACACAAGAGATCTTCCTTTACATTTAACTAGTGTACAACAGGATTCCCCCCCTGTAAGAAGGACCAGGAAGGGAAAGCACAACTATCAAAGCAACAGAAGGAAGATTTCCCTGCTCTTTACCCAAAGCATAAACAACAAACAGAGCTGCCTTCCCTGGAACGTGTTGCAAACCTTGGTCTTAACCTCATTATGTTATCACCGTGCTGTGACACTGACCAGGCTTGTGCCATTTGCAGTTGCCAGAAAAGTGACAGAAGCATTTTCCTCTCAGCTTCCTATCTTAGGCAGTCTATAGTTTTATTCCTAAATGTATGTTATCTCTGTCCTAATGCATAATTGCAGGGATAACAAGCAGAAAGCCTCTGTACCAGCCACAGCCTGTGCTGCAGACTGACTTTAATTCCCCTCAAACCAGCTCAAATTTTTCTGGTTGCATTAACACACAACTGAATAGTACATAAGCTTATTTTTTTGGTGAATTTAAATTAGGTCTCAGCAAGTTCATTAATACAAAAAGAAAAATGCACGTCATACAACTGCCCTCCATATGTGTAAGTTCAATAGTTTTCCAGTGCTTTCCAGTAACAATAGTTTTTAGTTACTTTTTCAGTAACACTGCAGAAGTAACACATAAAAACTGCTGAAGCCAATTTCAAGCATTTTTTATGAGTACATTATAGCATTCTGGCATATTTCTTAAAGCCAGTGACACTTTAAAGACACTGCAATGAGCATAAAAATAGGAAATGTGGGGTTTAGGATAAATGTTCATTTCAAAACTGAAAGGGCTTCACAGTCCAAGTTACTGTCCCTAGATTTGATAAAAAAGGCCTGAAGATTTATAGGAATTATTGTTGTAGGAAGACAGATTGCAGAGAAACAGTCAGAATATCTATGTGGTGTTAAACCTAAACTTGTAATACACAGCCCTGGCTATTCACAATTCCTGGTTAATGCAAAAGGGAAGGACAATGGTCACCACTGAAGCATCATATCAACTAGGTCTTGGAGACATGGAAGATGTTGCTGGTTTTGTTCATGTCCATGGGGAAGGCACACAGCACTGCCTGTGCCTTAGGTGACCAACGGATGGTCACATGTGAAATTCACACAGAGCCATTTTTTCTCCAAGCATTACTTAGGCATCATTTTTCTAATTTTACAGAGAAGGAAAGAAGGCACTCACATAACCCAGGATTCCTTTCTCTTCCCTCACCACCCTCTGCTCCATTAGCTTGTAGAAGGCAATTGATTGAATTTTAACCTCAGTCACCAAGGAAAATGTTATTTGAAAAGTTATGATGAAACTTTGGAGAAGGAATACTCTGAGCCTAAGGCAAATCTGGCAGCTTATTGGAAAAGTATTCTGGCACTTTCAGAGCTTGTTAAAGAGTTACTGCCCATCATGTTTTCTGTAGATAGTTTCTTGTATCTCAAGAAGTTAGAGATGTCTCAGGAAATCGGGGATGTGGGAGCTCCTGTGGTAGCTTTAACTCTAAACCAGCTAAATTGCAACATGAAAATGAATCGAGAGTTCTGGGCAGCTAGAAAAATTCTGTATGGATTCAATCACCTTTCTGCACAGCACACACATCTGTGCATGACCCACATGCACACACTGCACACGAAAACTCCTCGCCTGTGTCACATTACAGCCCTCAATTTCCTGGCTACAAAATAAATCTGATTGTGAAATAGATGCTTGCAGGTAGAAAACAATTTCAAAAATGAAGTGAGTACATGAGCTTTTACAGGAACATGTTATTAACCCCAGCTTCTTTCCAGCCCCTTCCATGTGCAGCTTGGCTCTTTGACAGCAAGGTCCCGCTCTTGTACGGTTCCTGCCTGATGGAACAACTCTAACTCTCATCTATTCTTTCATTCCATTCCAAAACACAACTAACACATTTTTTCACCCTTATCTCACCCATTTGCCCTGGACTTTGCTCACAAAATGCAGCATATGCTGTATACTCAGTGTGCTCCTCAACAGCAGTGTACACGTGCCAAGGGATAAGTTTGTAAACTGAGAAAACAGCAACAAAACACACAAAACCCAACAACAGCAAACACAGACTAACAGGAGAGCACAGCCTGCTGAGCAGCCACAGCTTCAGGCCTTTATCTATAATGTAGAAGGGTCATGGCTTCACAAATCCACACCAAGTACCTCATTTTCCAGTTTTAATTATTTTTTTCCATGAAGACACAAAGAATAAAATGGAGTCAAGCAGATTACTCATTTAACTTCCTTCTTCCCATACATCTGTGAAACAGCTATTTAGGTAAATTAGCAATTCCTCCTCATCCTTAAGGCTGTAACATTTCCATACTTCCCTGAGATGATAACTCTGGCTTGGCTAGGTTTTTTTAAACTCCACCAACAAATAACACAAGAGTTTTTATAGACATTTTAAAAGATATCTTGGAAAACAGATGCAGAGTGGAAACTCAAATCACAAGGTGCACATATTTCTTGATAGCAGAACAATTTCAATATATCTTGTTCAATTACAAAGATACTTCCAGCCTGGTTTTAGGCTGCAGTCTCCTCACTGAATTGAGGCACATCCCCACAACCCAACTAAACTCAAACCAAACTGTGAGTCCTCTAACCTTCAAATCTGCTTCATTTTCCTCTTTGAACCCTGCAAGTCAGAACATGCAATGAACATACCTGTTTTCCTTACCAGGAGATCAACTGAATGTGGTTTTTATTAAATAAAACACAGAAATTTTTGAGAGGTGCCCTACTGAAGTTTTTTTAAATACACACACCACAGCTCACCATTGTTAAACACTAAGTCACACTAACAAAGAGTAGCCAAAGAAAAAAGACCAACTCGTGTACTGTATGTGTAGAGAGTAGTTAACAATCACTTCCCACCTCCTGCTTCTCTTTTTGTACTTCTCTAAGTTGTCACAGTGCAAATGCACCACACTACAAAGTTTTTACTACTACTTTTTATTTTTTAAGCATAGAAGTATTGTTTCAGCAATTCCTGAAGTTTGCGATGTGTTTTAGAAAACTTCAAGGGAGATTTAATCAGATGACTGACTTCCAAGAGCAGCATGAATCTTTTTTATTTACAGTGTCTGTCAGCCACCCCAGTTGCTGCTACTTTAGAAGTATGGTTTTTGTTCTCCTCCTCTGTTGCTCTAAAATTTCTTAAGTTTCAATAAATTTTATTCAGGAAATAGCATCCCTGCTCCTAAACTTTGGGAGTAAGTTTTCATCCTGATTCAACCTGACAAGTAGGAGATTTATTCACATATTTGAGAGGGAAAAAAAATATTTTCTGCTAATTCAGTGAACTGTGTTCCAGAGCTGGTTTGTGTTCTGCCCTTACTGAACAGAAATCTGTGCTATGGCTTCATGCTAAGCCAAAAGTAAACACTCTTCCTTTTTATACAGACAGCTCAATCCCAAAGTACCAATGCTGGCATCAGCAGTGACAGAAGAAAAGCTATATTCCCCCAAGAGGGAATGATTAAAAGAACAAAAACAACCAAATTTTTTTAAAAAAATCCACCAAACCAAACAAAAAACACCAACTGCACAAAGATTGTTCAGCCAAATCAATGCATGTGTCTGAAATGCAAGCATTAATCAGTCATCAATCACCTGAGAGGAGGACAGCACCATTTTCACTATGACACATGGCAAGACAAAAGCCACCAGATTAAAATCCCTGATTAAAAGATATCTCCCACAAATACCTGCAGGTTAAAATTTACCAACCCCTTTTGCAGCATGCTGAAATTTGTTAACCTAAACATCACATACAGCACCTGTGCAACTTTTTGGAATATTCTCCTCTAAAACCAGCTGAGACAGGTAGTAAAATTAATTGACAAGACATAGCAACCAAAACCAATTTTTATGATGTTCTATTCTTTGGTGGATATGTTTACATTCCCTACCTTCACAAGTCTCCAGGATCACTTTTCAAAAAGAGTTTCAAAATAGCAATACTAAACACCATCAAGGACTTACCAGATTGGAATTGGTGGCATTGGAATCATCTTCTGGAAAGGGGATATAGATAGCTAAGGCCACACAATTGGCAAAAATAGTCAGTAAAATAATTATTTCAAATGGTCTGAGGAATGGAGTTAAGGAAATTGGTCCAAAATGAGCACACAAAAATAAAAAGAAACTTTAACAAAAATATATTTATAAGAACTCTGTTTAAAGAAAGCATTCCAAGCCTCTTATACTCTGAAAAGAAACATATGCCTTTTTAAGTGCTTTTAGGAGCTCCCAGCCAAAATTCTTCCTAATATGTCAAAAGCAGTGTAGGCCAGTCACGTGCCAGAGTAAACAAAGGTTTCTTAAAAGTTTTTTCTTCCTTTACTTATTTAGATTTCATTTTCTCAATTTTCCTTCAAGTGTGGCTGCACTACATAATAATAAGAGAAACTTGTACTATAATGACTGTCCTTGCTATTTTTATGACTTTTTCTTGTTTGTTTTCATCTGCATTTATAAATTCTCAGATAATTTTAACAAAGATTTTGGGGTTTCTTTTCTTTTTTTGTTGTTGCTGTGTTCTTTCTCAGTTTCTCTCTCATATCTTGGAGTTAAATGTGAGGGCTCAAGCAATAATAACCATGGTGAGAAGATGTTTAAAAAAGGATAAGTTTTGTTAAGGTAAAAAAAGTCTTTGTCCAAAATCTGCTTACACTGCACATTGCCATGTATACTTGTTTTGCTTAAAAATTATTTGAGGGAGTATTTATTTTTCTCTTATTTGCATTTCATTTGGCATCAGAGGAAACACAAAAGTCCAGAATTTTAGGGACAGCAGGAAGCTGAGAGTCCCTTCTGACAAAGAAACAGTTGCATCAGCTTTGCTGGAGAAGAGAGAAACCAAATATTTGGAATGTTCAACAAAGGAATCCTGCACAAGCTCAGTGCCCCCCTGGAACCAAAGGGCATTTTTCTACTGCCCAGTCTCCTGGCACTGCACTTCATCTCCTTCAATGGTCTCCCTAATCTCTCCAGACTCAGACTAGAGACCAGATTTATGGTCTGTCTACATTTACTGGCCTGCAAGAATATCCTGGAGGCTACTCCTGGGATAACTCACCAGTACCCAGGAGGGGAATGAGGAGCAGGAGAGAATGCCAAGCATAACCTGTGCCACAGAGTGCATTTGAGCATGGCTCTATCTGCCATGGGGCTGCTAAATGTCAGCACAGCGTGGATGATTTTGGTCAGCAGACTGCTGTTCTCAGCAGGCTTGAGCAGAAAGAACAGGAGATCTTTGAGTGTTAAGCTGAGCTGCAAGATATACACAAATTCCAGGCACCTGACTGCTGTTTATACTCACATGCATTCTATATTTCACACATGGAAGAGTCAGAGGGTTCCAGACTCACCAGACTACTGTGCTTAAGCCTCTGAATAATAAGAGATAAATGGTACCACAGAGGCAGAGGAGCAGAGCAGGACAGGAAGAGACATCTACATGAGAAATCAGTAAGACTTCTCAGGTGTGTACTACCCCAGGCTGTTTGTGTAAAGTTTACTGCTTAAAGACCTGGATTTCCACAGGCTTTCATTTTCTTAATCACTTTTGCTCCTCAAATTTTTGTTTGTTTCTTTTGGCAGGATTATTATCCATTAATTTATCGCTGTTTACACGTATTTCCTTTCACTTCAATTCTGTTTTTGCACTGTAGACATTAAATTCTATAAAATCTACACTAAAATACACTACACAAAAGGCAGAAAATTAAACACACAGCTAAATCCTTACAAAATAAAGTAATTACTTCATTTCACTTTTTTTTAATGCAATTGTTCATTCAGGCTCTTAACATTGTAAAATTTGGGTAAGAAACACTACTGAAGTACTATTTTATATTTTTTAATATCTATTATGCTTAAACTTTAGTGGTACAACAAATTAGGCTAAGCCTTTCTCAGTAGTTTTCAGCAAGTAGGAAAACTCAGAGTATAGAATTAAACTGAACCCTGCCACAACCCTTTGATATTGCTTGTTGCCATTGAAGTGTTCCATGTTTTCAAACTCCAGATGTCCAATGAGGTTCTGATGGAAAAAAAAATACTTCCATCAACTCACCTAAAACAAAACAAAACCCCAAACTGCAAGTTTCAGCATCTTTGTGTTGCTTTAATTGCACTGTTTGGTTATCTCTTGATCTGAGCAGTGCTGTACCCTGGTTTACAACACCTCATCCCCATCATTTCTTGCTGATTTTACTCATTTATCAAATGTTACTCTGAAGACATGTGGTGACTGGGGTGCTGCTAAGCAAACCAATATTCAGTTTTATCCTGTTAGTCATCACCCATCATCTTATGCTTAAAGTATCAGACTTATGTCAGAAGCAATAAAAAGTAGCAAACTTAATCAGGGGATTAAAAATTAGCATCTGAAGAAGAAAGGAACAGGCAGGCAGGTAGTTTAAGGACATGGAGAGATTGACAGAAGCATTTTTAACAAGTTCTTAATCTGAAAAGCATGTCCATGTCAGCAATACCTGATATACTCATTTTCTGTTTTCACCCAGCATCCCACCAGACACCCAAGGGAATAATATTATCACATTGTCTTAAATGCCTTAATTCCTTTTTTTTTATCATATTAACTACTGCCAAGTTCTGTACTGCCTTTGCTTGACATGCTTATCTACCCCTAAAAACATTCTTTTTCTTTTGTATTTCCTGAAGAACCCCATTAGCTTGCGATTACTGCTCAGGGTTAATCCTGGTTTCTCTTTGAGGATGCAAAGGAAGCATACTTAATTTCAATTTGAGTTTCACACCAAAGACTCAAATTCCAGCTTGCACTGCTCAGACTTGGATGACTGAAAAGGCTTTGCTCTTTGCACACAATAAAGAAATGATCAGACTCTCCCTGACTTTCCAGGGAAGCAGCCCCAACCCCTTCACTCTGCAGTTCCGTGTCAGTGGTTATCATCCATCATCTGTGACACCATCTGTCTCTTGTTCAGACTGTCAGGTCTGGCTCTGCAATGCATTTGGACATGTTACTTTAACTGTATTTTTTCCCCTTCTTCTAGATAACCATTATCCCTTACCATACAATACTGAGCATTATTTTTTTAACCAGAATTCCAATATAATTATCAGTTCTCAGCCCAGTCTCAGGGTCTTACTGCATACCTTTGGGGGTTTTCACCTTGCCTTTTGTGCCACTCTTTTATCCATACTGTAGAAAGTGTGATGTCACATGTTTAACAAAAAGTGTATGATTCAAAGCAGCAGAGCTTTGGACTGGTGACACCTCTAAAAAAAACCAATAAAAATTAAAAAGGGGAAGCCAGGAGCTGCTATCAATCCCATAGATTGATAGTTCTGATAACTTGACTATCTCCCATGCATTTCCTGGGCCATACTTTTTTCAAAGACCAGAATTCAACCACTAAGCCTTATCAAGCTATTCCATCTTCTAGTGGTCTCTCACACCGGGGTGTAGTTAAGATTTCACTTCAATCCTGTTTCCTGACACACCCCCCTTCCACCATAAACCACCTCAGTTGAGACATCAAAAATTATTCACGTATTTTAAGTTGCCAGTGGTGGAACTTTCAAACTGATGGATTTCAACCCAAGGCATGGTTTTCCACCTGAAACTTTGATTTCAACGCGAGGCCTGGATGCCCAATGCGAGGCCTGGATTCCCACCTGATACACTGATTTCAACCCAATGCATGGATTTCCACCTGACACATTGACTTCAGCCCAAGGCAAGGCTTTCCACCCAAGGTCTGGATTTCCACCCAAGGCCTGGATTTCCACCTGATACATTGACTTCAGCCCAAGGCCTGGATTCCACCCAAGGCCTGGATTTCCACCTGATACATTGACTTCAATGCGAGGCCTGGATTCCCAACCCAAGGCCTGGATTTCCACCTGATACGTTGATTTCAACCCAAGGCCAAGATTCCAAACCTGAGGCTGGGATTCCCAACCCGAGGCCGGATTTCCCACACCTGATACATTGATTTCCACCCAAGGCATGGATTCCCATCCCCCATGAACAGGCGCTGCCTGTTGGGCCGCGTTAAGGATATTTCCATTCGACGATGCTGATGCACGCCCTCCGGATGGGATTCTTCAGCGTGAGGCACAGCAGTGCCCGGGGAGGACGGGTGGCTGTGGTGGTGCCCTGCTTCTTCTGCTTGCCATACTGCTGCCGTTTCCTCTGCGTGGAGCTGGCCGTGGATATCGTGGCGTTGCCAGCGCTGCCCATCAGCTTGGCTTGCCTGGCAGCGTCGATGGCAGCCTGCCAGGACAGAGCTGCTCCCGGCGTGGGGATGTGCTCTGGGGCAAGCCCTGCAGCTGCATTGGCATTCATGTTGGCATGAGCTGGACGGGGACTCCCATAGTTGGAACCTGCAGGGGAAAAAAAATTTAAAAATTAAATAAACCAGAGATATTTGTCAAGACTTTTTTAAACTGTGGAAGAGATAGCTAACGGTTTTTTAAAACCTTCAGTGTAGGGTGTTGTAGGTAATTCAAATTCTTAATTGTAAATACTACTATGCAATTCTTTGTCTTGCAAGAGATTACCAACAAGACTGATGGATTCTGAGCTATCAGAAGTGCCTCCAATCAATGCAGTCTCCAGACATTCAGAAAAAATAAACTACCCTTTATTTTCTGTTCACCCACATATTTTGCAAGTTGGACTGTTTGAAAGCTCAAAAGCTGAGGCCAGTCTCCATCACCTTCTCACTCAGACACGCATCATGGTGCTATCTGGTACATGGCAAAGAACCCAAACAAAATTGTCAAGTCCTATCACAAAAATCTTCATGCTTCTTGGAGATTACCTGAAGGTAAGGTGGAATTTTGCCAGTAAGCTTAATTCTCCCTGCAAACAACACCTATGTACAGGTCTAAGAACAGCCTGAGCAGAAGGTACAGTGAAGCAGAAACCAGCACACAAAGACACAGCTGGTGGCTTTTGTGCTCTGTATGTTCCTGTGCAGAGAGGTAAGACCAACCACATGTTTAGAAATTTGAACTAATTCCTTATCCTGATAAACTACTGAATCAATGGAGAAATTTATTTTAAAAGCACAAGATAATAAGAATGCTAAAACCTATCAGTCCCAAGTTTTGCAGCTTCTGTAGCCAAAAGTAAGGAAGTATATACATTTCCCCAATCATAATAATGGAATATACAAATATACACATCAGGTGACAAGTGGCTGATCTTGAGAAGGTCTTAGCAGTACAAAAAATAAAGTCACTCTTTCAAGCCAGTGCAGTTCTTCCAGTGTTTCAATAAAGACAGCTAAGTCACCTGTGCCTCTTCAATGAGACTCTTCCACTGACCCAAATTAAATCCTAGATCACTTCAAGAGGAAAGAACTTGGAAATTTCAAAACAGATTGCTCTACTCTTTGGACTATGCTTCAGTTGAGTCCTGCAAGAACTTGTGAAATATTAACTGAATTTTATCCCAGACAATTTACAGAAGAAAATGTAAGCCCTGTTTAAAAAGTGCAACATAGAATCTAAACAAAGTCACAACAGAAAACTCTGATTAAGAACACCTTGTTTAGGCGTGTCCTGTATCACATTTAAGACACTATTTAATTTGTTGTGGACTTGTGAGTTTGCCCATGGCCCATAACTTGAGGTACAGATAAAAGGAGGCCTGAGAGGTCTACAGATCTTATTCCTCCACAGTTCAGCTTCAAAATCCTGCCCACTGCTGATTCAGGAAGAACCTGAATGGTGCTTCCATTGACATCTGAGCAGCAGACTGTGCTTCAGAAAAAGTGCCCACACAGGGGGCAGAGAGTGGAAACCCAGTCAAGGAGTTAGATCACCTGGTTCAAAGCAAGCTCAAAGCCTCCTGTTGACCATGTTCCATTTTAGATTAATATAGAAATATGGTGTTATTAAATAGGACAGATGGCTCCTACAGACTGTTAGACAAAGCAAAGGGAAGACCACTTCTAACACTGTTTCTTTTACGGTATCAGATGAAAGACATTTAAAACCAGGGACTTGGAAAGCTCTTCTTGAATGGAAATAATTACTAAAGATGCATATTTCATAGCTGGATGTGCAGTGCCAAGGTAGCACAGCACTGACTGCACTACAAATGAATGAAAGCAGGTGGAATAAATACAATTACATTGACACACAGAGTGCAACAGGATATGCCTCCACCTAGAAAGCATTCAAGATTTGTGAATTAATCTCACTGAATCACAAGGAAGGACATGATAGAGTCAGATGTTATTTTATGTCAGGCATTGCTGTAAGATTTTTAGGCTGTTACAGTCTCATTACAGAGCAGGGAAATCCAGAGCTTGTCTCTGCTCACTGAAAAACCTCCTAGCTGCAAACCAGCCAAAGGAAGCTGATGAGTAATGTGACTCTGATATGTGAAAGGGAAAGCTGAAAGAAACAAGAAATGGGAAATGGTTAATTCACATCCCTCGCATTTGGAAAATGAAGAAAAAGAGCTTTCAGAATCCTACAGGCTAAGCAGATTTCCTCGATGAAGCAGGCAATCAAGTGGCAGACAAACTTAGTTTTCCAAGGCTAAGCAAATTGTACACAGCACTACTCATGGGATACGCATTTATTTTCAGACTTGTTCCAGATGCAGTTTTTCTCTTAGCATCTATTTGACCTCCCTAGCTTGAGGCATGCTGGAAAGGAAAAATAAATGGAAAATCACTCTAATTATTCTCCAACTCCGGCTCTTTTTTAATACTGACCCATTAGAGTGGAGAAGAAAGATGTGTGTTTTCCAGTAAAAGCAAACTTGCTGATCCCTCTCCACAGTGTTCCTATCATGCTGACTAGACCATGTGCTCCTGTAAATAAACAGCTGCTGCTTCTTAATGAAGACTTTTCTGCAATTTGGGAATGCGTCAAGTTTCATCATTATTACTTCTTATTAGTTAGGTTCCACATGAGGATCCAAGTCATGCATTTTGACTTTGATGTGCCAGCAAAGTTAAGTATCCAGCTTTTGGTGGTTTGATTGGTTTTGCTTCTAATATGATCAGCAGTCCCATAACAAAGTGCTTTGTCTCAAATTAATTTCAAATGAAGAGTCAGTAATGACAGATTTCTATTAACAAATATTACAAATATTGATTACTGATAAGGATCTGTCTGTTTTATGGAGCTCTGAGGCTGCAGACAGGATCTGTAGTAAATGAGAAACGGCAATGACAAAAGACTTGTTCTGGAGGTACTTTGTAGAAATAGCTTGAATAAAAGAGTGAAGCTCCCACAGCTACATTCAAGAACTAAGCAAAATATTTTCAAAGAGAGCACAGCCAAAGTTTCAAGGAGAATGAAATTCCACCCTATAATCTAAATGCTTAGGGTTAATTCCTGGGAAGTAAAGAGAACACAGTTCCTATTGAACTTGTGAGGCACTGTGCTGAAATTTCACTTACAGCACTCATTTCTTCCCCACCACAAAACTTTCCTGCAGCCTGCGAGCTGCAGTTACTGGATTTGGGTGTTTTTTTCTTTTTCCAATGCAGCAGTGAAATACTGTACTCAATTTCCCCACTACAAATAAAGTTTCACACTACCAAATACACCATTATTCAGCTGGATGTTGACCAGATCTAGGAAATGGAGACTGAGCCCCCACCCAAATGCAATAACTCACCAAGCACTGTGATCCACAGCATCATCACCCTGCTAATCCCCACCACCTTTCAGCAACAATTTCCACTGTTGACTCTGTCCAGCTGGTGCACAAAATTCTGCCCTCTCAAGCCCTTCTGTGCTATGGGTTATTAATTCAAGTATCTGAATATAATTAAACAGAAAAGATTATATATGTGAACAAGTTTGATTACAAAGTCTTTAGAAAAGACTTTCACTTCTGAAAAAAATTGCAGATTTGTAGAACTAAAACAGATGCAGAAATAACAGAAACACAGGTTGCAAAAATCAGAGTTAAGTCACAAAAGTAACAGGTATGGTTGCTCTACAACAGGAAATTAACCACATTGCACAAAGTACCGGATGCTGAAAGCTTATAACTAAATCACCAAAATTGTCATTACCAAAACCACTATTAAAATACACAGTGATGACCATTTTAAGTGGTATTTGAATTCTAATACCATCTTTCATGCCACCTATTACTATATCAAAAAAGCATCATTAAAAAACCCCAACCATGCAGTGACCACTTGATACAAGACATGGGCAAGTTAATGACACAATGGAATCTCAGTTTCTGTGGGGTTTTTGTCTTCATCTAATTAGCCATACATTTATTTTAGAAAAAATTGTTCTCAAATTAATTATTTAAATTAGAAATAGACCGATCCTGATGTGGAATGCCATTATTTTTTTCCCCAACATTTTAAAAACAGCAGATCCTAAAATTGCACACCTTTGAACTTTTCCCCAAAGCAGAGGAGAGCTGGGTACAGTAAAAGATGAGATTGGTTAACTCAGTGTCTAACTGCTCTCAGAATGAAAGCAAACTGGAACTAGGAAACTGGTCACATTGCCAAGATCATGTGTGAGACCAGTTCAAGCCCACAGGAAAAATGTTCTAAAATATTGAAGAGAGAGTTGTCAAAATCAGAAGCACAAAGAACACCACCAATAAAAAAATTCAGTGTATGAGATCATCTAATGAGGAAGAACGTGGAAAACATTGATCCATTAATCCATGGGAAAAGGAGAGCATATGATTCCAAGAAGGATTACATTACATTTTTGCATCAATTTTTACTAAAAAAATAAAGTCCATTAAGAGCTGATGACTAGCACTAATAAACCCCAAATCAAAACAGGTATTGTTTCCAGCTGTAAAAGGGAAACAAGCCATTGGATAATGTCCATGCTTTCAGCTACTTTGGTAGCTACTTTGCACCCTAGAATGTCCTAGAATATTTAAAGCACTTTCTGAAGTAACCTCAAAGCTGTTGGCTGCTGGCTTGAACTCATGGAAGACAGAAGAGATCTCAGAGGACTCAGAAACAGTAAGAGGAATCCCCAGCTTAGAAAAAAAATAGAAGGGCAAATTTACATCCAAATTAACTTCAGTTTCAAAAAAGGGAAAAAAATTGAATAAGTAGAATAAACAAGCATCAGCAAGTACTTGCAGGACAAGTAGAAAATGAGCAAGAGACATGGACCTGTCATGAACACATTGCATCAAAAAAACCCAGTTTCTTCCAGAAGTGAGCAACAGAATTCACAGGCAAGGTGAAGCAGTAAGGTCCATGCCTCCTGATTTTATTAATAGTTCTATGAAGCCTTGTATGATAGTTTCATAAGAATTCTAGGGACATAAAAGCTAGGAAAAAAAGGGTATGTCATGAATAAAAAAACAGTGGATGCCTGGGAGCAGTTATCATTGCTGTACATCTAAACTGGAG